CGCCCCTGCCGCGGGCTTGGACTCGGGTCTGTGCGGCAGGGAGCAGTTTTTAGGGTGCGGGGTTTTAGGGTGCGGGAACTCCGCTCTGGGGTGGACGCGGGCCGCGGCTTGGGCGGCCTTGGGTCACCTCGGCGCGGGGCGCGGCTGCCGGCGGGAATTGCTGAGAACAAGGACAGCGGAAAGCAGCGGGGTGCGGTTCCGGACCCCGGTTCCCCACGTAGAGCACGGACGGCGGGCGATCCGCGGGGGCCTCTGGCACTCACGTAACAACAGTACCGGGCAAGGGGAGAGGGTGCATTTTGTGGACTATAGAAAATTGGAAATAATTTGGCATTGAAACCTAAGGCCTGTCTAGAGGTGTTTTCTCATCCTTGTCATAAAAGTTAATAAGAATCAATTTTATTTTTTTTTTTTTTTTTTTTTTTTTTTTGAGGAGGGTGATGCCTTTGTTCCATGAAAAATGCACTCTAAAGTTTTTGAGGCATTAGAAAGTAAGTGAGTAACCTCATGGATGTGAAGAGGTACCTTCAAATCAGTTGCATAATTGTGAGGCCAGGCCTCGAGCAGGTTTCTTCAAGAGGCGTTTTTAACGTTTAAGGAAACTGGAAGGAAATTGGCTGTTGCACTTATCAAATGATGCAAATGTGACTTATCTGGCTGAGAACGGTAAATGTGTAGCGTTTATTTTGCCAATTAGTCTCTGGTTCAGCTTCTACTCCACTTTAATTTTGTGCACTAGTCTTTGTCCTTTCTGTCTTAACACAAAGGCATGAAAGTAAGTAGGGTGATGCTTGGAGTTTATTTCAGTACAGTGTTTGATAAACACTCACCCTGCAAACTTTAACTGCGTTTAGTGGGTTGACCCTGGTGCCAGGCACCCACAGAAACTGATCTGTCATTTGCCTTCTCAGCTGGACAGGGAAGAGAAAAGACAACAAAGGTTCATGAGTTTAGATAAGGACCAAGGGAGATCACTCAACAAATACCTAAGGGCAAACATTGACTCGCATTGGGGATATGAATTTATTACCAACAAAGTCAGAGCAGGATAATGAGAAGTAAAATAAATCTTAAACAACACATTCCCCCACCTCTTTCTTCTTCGGAAGCTCTACCTTCTTTCCTCCAGCAGTGCAGGGAGATGGGAATGGGGGTTATGAATAGTTCATCACAGGTTTTTCCTGCTCAGGGAGAGGAGTTCATCCCACTGACAGCAGTTTTCCACAAACTGCTTCAAGGTGGGTCACACTGCTGGGGTGTAGTCCTTCAGGCACAACGTGCTCCAGTGTGGGTCCCCCAGAGGATCACAAGTGCTACCAAGAAACCTGCTCCAGCATGGGCTTCTCTTGCCATGGGTGTGCAGGTCCCTGCCAGGAGCCTGGTCCAGCATGGGCCTCCCATGGACTCACAGCCTCCTCTCAGGCATCCACCAGCTCTACCGTGGGTCTCCTCCATGCGCTGCAGGGGAATCTTGGCTTTGGTGCCTGGAGCACCTCCATGCCCCTCCTTCTCCACTGACCTTGGTGTCAGAATTGTTCCTCTCACATGTTCTCACCCTGCTTTTCTCCACCTGCAATTACACCTGCACAAAAACCTTTTTTTCTTTCCTTCTCAAATATGTTGTCACTGAGGTGTTCCCACCATTCCTGATGGGTCCAGCCTTGGCCAGCAGTGGGTCTGTCCTGGAGCTGGCTGGCATTGGCTCTTCTGGACATGGAGGAAGCTTCCAGCAGCTTCTCACAAAAGCCACTCCTGTAGCACCCCTGCTGCCAAGACCTACCTGCATAAATGCAACACACTATGATACTGAGAACAGAATGGGAACAATAATACTTCAAAAATTTATTTATTTTATTTAGTTCCATGAAGGTTATAGTAAAGCTTTTGTAGATTCAGCCTAGACCTGGGTTTCAGGAAGGGGTCCTAAAATACTGACCTTCACAAGGTTTTCTGAGCTTTACCATACATGTGATATTAATCTAGTCTTAAGTAGATATTTTTGCCAGGATGGAAGAGGCTTAGTGAAAGAACAGAGAAATATGATGGTTAGTTCATAATCAGCAGCAAGGTAACTCTTAAAAAATTGGAATTTATTTCTTTGTCATTATGTTTGAATTTAAGACTGAATTTCTTTGAAACAGTGAAACATGTTTCCCACAGAGATTGTGAAGCCTCTGGATTTGGCGATACTCGGGGCACAGCCTTAAGCAGTCTGCTGTAGGTGACCCTCCTCTGAGCAGGAGGGTTGGGGAAGA